CCCCTTCCCAGATGATAAACCTCTAAATGGTCTCCATATCTATGATTAGGTTCCTATTCTAGTTGTTTACTTAGTTTGTTTTTTAGATTCAGTTATTGATAGTTGTGTTTATTGTCATTTTAATAGTCATAGTTTTTATCTTTTTTCTTAGATAAGACTCTTAAACATTTCATATAATAAGGGCTTACAAGAAGTATTCAAAGTGATGAAAAACAAGGACCTACAAACAAAATTACTCTATCCAGCAAAGCAATCATGTAGAATGGAAGGGCAGATAAAGTGCTTCCCAGGCAAGGTAAAGCTAAAGGAGTTCATTATCACATCCTTCATTATTTTATCTCACAAAGGTAATTTGATGTACTACACTTGATCTTAGCCAAAAGGCTGAGAAGTGATTAAAGGTACCAGAAATAAAAGTGGCTTTAATCAACCCAACATAAAAGATGAAGGCCAACTGTGATAAAGGCACCATCATTTTCCCCATTACCTGGGTTTTAAAAGTCAACTGCATTGACACAACTGAAACAACAGTTCTCAAAGTGGGCCCAAGTTCCCAGCATCACCTGGGAACTAGTTAAAAATGCATATTCTTGGGCTAAGGACCCAGTATTCTTTGTTTTTACAAGCATTCCAAGTGGATGTTGAACACCAATGTTTGAAAACCGCTGAACTCAAGAGCACTCTTGCTTAAGAATTTAGATTCCTGGGCCCCCTCTCCAGACCTATTGGATGGGGACTTCTGGCTTGCATTTTAACAAGCTCATCATAACAGATGACTCTTATGCTTATTCATACATGTAAGCCACTGCTTTAGAGTTGCTATTTTTTTCATCCCACCATTGTGCAATCTACAGGATTTTGCCAAATCCTGTAAGTTTTACATTTGCAAATACTTAACGTAATGCTAATCACCAAACCTAAGATTTTTATAAACACAGATTTCCAGGCCCTGCTCCAGAATTGCAAACAAAAAGGTATTATGTTAACACATTACCTCTAACGGAGCACATGTTATGTCATATACTGCCTATCTGGGAGCATGGTGGGGAGCTCGCCTTTATAACACTGAATTGGACGTGGTTACTCCAAAGAAAAGACATCTGGAACTCACCATGAGTACTGACCTCCTTGCTCTATTTTAATGTGAACTGTATAAAGTTATCATTATCAAAGCAACCGCAAATAATTTCCAGATTAAAGTAATGGAACTCTGATCATTTTACTCCCCACTCAAAAATTTTTACTGCACTACATAAAAATTACTCAGCTTAACATTTGAGACCCACTGCTAATCTTCTTGCTAGTTCAGTCTCAGTGAATTCACCTTATTCTCCAACCAACCAAGCTATGATCTTTTCTGGCTTCTAGATTTGTACCTTGTACTCTGTGTCCATTTACTTTGAGTCCCTTTACTTTGCCTAAGCATATCCCGTCTACCTAAAATGCCCCTTTCCTCAATATCAGTAAAAATTCAAATTCACATAAGTGTTAAGTCCTCCAATTAGTCTATTCTATATACCCATTAAGTAATATCTGATACTTATTGAACAATTTGTAGAAGCCAACCACTCTGCTATATCTTCACAGGCGCTGACTAATTTACCGTATTTTTCAGACCATAAGATGCACCTAGGTTTCAGAGGAGGAAAATAGGGGAAAAATTGAACCAAAATATGTGGTAAAATATTTAATAACATAAATAACATAATGTTTCACCAATATAAATGTAAACAGCATTAACTACCATTATTCCTCCCAAATTTGGAGGCGAAAATGTGTGTCTTATAGTCTGAAAATTACGGTCATCCTCACAACCACTTTATGAAGTAGCTACAAGTATTTTCTTCACTGTTCAAAGCACAGAACTCAGGGCAAAACAGAGTGAAGTGACTTTCCCAAGAATATTCAGTAGCAAGTAGTCAAGCTAGGATTCTGATTTCGTATGCTGAGCTCTGAACACCAGATCTGAGTCCCAAATGAAATATTTCCACCCTGTTAAATTGTTACAAAACTGTGTTGGTGCTTTGTATAATAGATGTATTCATGCTTAATTAATTGGTATAAAAGGATAAGGTGGTAACAGATTGCTCCCAATCAAGGTTGTAACAGAACAAAGGCTAAGGACAACTGTGTTATTTGGATCAACACTGATTTTTTAAAAATCCACAAAAATTACCTTCAGGTGGACCACTTACTTCTGGCTAGCAGACACACCCTTTGAACTGTGTTGTGGCTGGTTGGGGCCAAAGAACTAGGCTCTGGGTCTGCCATTGGATTCAAACCATCTAGGGCTCTTTTCTACATCAGTGCCAGCCTTCAGGGGCTTTATTCAAGGTTACTGTCATTGACAGAAGGCTGTATTTGTGCATAACTGTTCAACTCTAAGGACCCTGAAGTAGGAACTGTGAAATAGCCATGTTTATGTCTCCATTAGCATCATCACCAACACCTGAGAATTAGTGCCAGGCCTTGAGTATAGTGGTGATTCAGTAATATCTGCTGAAATGAGCATGAATGTAGAGAATTCATTCCTCAATATGTTGTCAAGCTTCTTTACACCTTGACTTTAGATAGTTCTAAAACAAAAGAAAAAGTGTTTTAATTTGGGGGTGGTTACATTTAGATCAAGGGCATTTTTAAATATTTGTTATTTTTATTTATTTGCCTTTTCTGTAGTAGTACTCTGTTTTGGAGAATCTAGGTACTTGTCCCAGGCAATTACTTTTCTTAGTCCCACTTGACAACTGGGGAAAAAAACTAGAAAAGGATTTTAGAGCCAATGTTAATTGTATATATCAAATAGAATTGCAAATGGCTTAATTGTTTTTGAATCTCATTCCAAAGCTATAGTTAGAATATCAGAAACCCATGTCAGTAGCTGAAGGTGTACAGTTTCATGTCAGGTTTTAAAGTGAGAAAGACACTGTGTTTTGTGAGCATAGTTGTGGTTTTAGTCTGACCACCACTACCCGTTTTTTCCTTGTGGCACTGAAATCAGAAACTATATGAATATGAACGTACTGAAGTATTTGGGAAAAAAGGACTATAAATTAATCAGGCCACTTACTAAACTGCAAAATTATTCCAGGTTGCACACATATTTATTGGTTCTCTCCCTCGACTTTCTTATACCCTTTTCTTCCTTCATTCCTAAAATCAAGCAATCTAATCTTTATTATCTGAAACCATTAGGATCACTAGGGCAGAGCCTGAAGAAGAACAAAGACTGTCCTAAAGCGAGAGAGAGAAAAATTCTGAATACTCTAATGGCACATGGGGAAGTGCAGAGCCTTGTCTGCAGTGACCAGCAGATGACACTATGTATCACTTGATCTCTGATTGGCAACCCTGGATTCTGAGGTAATGCCTGCAGTCAGAGTATTTAGTTCGTCTGAAAATACTTGCTATAACACAATGTAACAATCACAGAACAATAAATGAGATTGTGTTTACTTAAAGAAATCACTGAGATCTTTCCCGTTAACAGTCACTTCTGGGTGGTGCCTAATGAATTTATATCTTTGTTTTTAAAGGAATTTTTCTATTACTCTGGGAAGTATAAATTCTGTTTGTTTTGTTTTTGTTGTTTGTTTGAAATATCTCTATCTAGTAGCAGAGACATTACTTAAAAGTAGTGAGACGAAGGTGAAGGGATTAGCCAAAGAATGTACATGCAGAACCCACAGACACAGTGCGGTGATGGACAGAGAGAAGGGGGGTGGGCAGTGGATGGAGGTGGGCAAAAGAGGGGGACGGGGACATCTGTAATAGCATAGATAATAAAAATAGAGAATAATAACAAAATAAAAACAATTTAACAATAAAAGCACAATAAAAGTAATGAGGAGGAGCAAGGAGTGTAAAGGAATTCGCCAGGCATTGATAATTGTTGAAATAATTTCTATTATTGGACATGTGGCTCAAGTCATGGACACATGTTCAAGATACACACTGTATCTCCAAAATTATAAGCCACACATTGTAACTTGAGAAATGCAGTTAACCCTGGCAAACTCTACCCTTAACTGCATTCCCCAAAATGAAACAAAAAATAAAACTGTCTCTTAAGCCTCTAAAAACATTTTCATAGAAAGCTGACTTAGAAACATATTGCCACCTCTTAACTGTACGGCCTTTTTATATCTAAATTCTTCACGTCTCATCATATCTTTTAACTGCTGCAGGCAAATTCATCTTTCTCACATGACGTATGACGCAGAGAATACCGTGCGCCTAAAGGAGATTATTTCAAAACAAGTAGAGGATTTGGTAATCAATGTATATTTTGTATCAAATGCAATTCTGCAAGTACTAGTATCAAAACAAAAAAATTGTAAATCTCTTAGGTATTACAGATAGCTTATTGTAAGATTTCCTTGGGGCAATAATGAAGATGGAAATCTCAAGAAAACGTTAAAACCACCCTACAAGAGATTTCATACATATTCAAGAGATGGAAATAAAGTGAAATGATTGGCAGAATCCAACCCAATCCAAAAAAGGAGGAAGGAAAAAGGCACAGAAAAAGAATGGGTCACTTTAGTGGCGGAGCGGTAAAAGCAATGCACAGGCACTGCTTCTAGCTTTCCAATGACGTTCTAGAATTTGCTGCAGAGATTTCGGGCCGCACCGTACGCGCTCTTTCTTAGGACCTTGCCCTTTCTACCTGCACCGTCGCTCCCGCCTGACTCAAAGCCCTAACCCCTCAAGTCTTGCAACTCTGCTCAAAGTCACCTTCTCATTGCGGCCTATTTAAAAGCTGACACCCTCTCCTGTCCCCTCCACACTTCTGACTACCCCGTATTTCCACTATTTATACGTTAGCCCCTCCTTGCCCTCAATTTCCAACCCCTTGGACAACCCTGCCTGCTGCTCTTCCTTTAAATCTCGTAGGAAAGGGGCGGGGCCAGCGCCGAGGCCCGCGGAAGGGAGGGGCTTATCCGCGGGCTCCGACCACCCACGCGGGGCGGCGGCCAAACGCGCGAGAGGTTCCACGCGCTCCGGAAGCGAGATTGCGGACGGAGTCGCACGTGACCGTGACGTCACGGCCCCGCGCCGCGCGGCAGAGGTAGCTCAGGCCCTTCGCAGCGCGCGGTCGTGGCGGCCGCGTCCGCAGACTCCCCGGGCCCGGAGCCGGTCGTCGGCATGTACCACAACAGCAGCCAGAAGAGGCACTGGACCTTCGCCAGCGAGGAGCAGCTGGCGCGGCTGCGCGCCGACGCCAACCGCAAGTTCAAATGCAAAGCGGTGGCGAACGGGAAGGTGAGCACCGCGTCGGCCGCCCCCGTCTCCGGGTCCGAAAAGCCTCGGAATGCTGCGAGCCCTCCGCACACTTCCGCCTCTCCTCCCCGCGGGCGCGCGGGCCTCTGTTTAAACGGGGTGTGTGTGTGTGGGGGGGGGGGGGGGGCGAGTAAGGGGCGAGGCCACGCCCCGTGGCTGAGTGGCAGACGGGTAACCAGTCGCAGGGCAGGAAGACGCGTAGGCGGTCCAAGTGGTGCGGGACCTGGGCCGAGGCGTGTCGCGGAAGGCTTCTCCCGCGACTGCGGTGGAGAAGCGTGGGCCCAGGGCGTCGCGGGCGGACCGAGCTGCGGTTGCTGGGCGGGAGCTCCGAAGTCGCAGGGCAGGTTCCTGGAAAGCTGTGGGTCCTGTGTGTCGGAAGCTGCGCACTGGTGCAGGAAAGGCTGAAGAAGGCAGGGAATTTGTAGGTGGAAATAAAAAGAGTTTGAACTTTGTGACGAAGGGGTGGGGGAACCTTTGTAAAATTTTAAATGGCAAATTAACCTTTTATTCTCTACTAGAAAGCCCTCTGGCATCTTGGTGTTGAATGGGGCAGGGAGACTAGAGAGCTAGCACAGACCAATTGATTTAAGGTTTGGATTAAGTCTTGCCAGCGAAGTCCTCTCTGCTATTAGCTCCCAGACACTTCTGCTTAATCTTTCGTCCAAAGTTCCAACACCCATCCTCGCACAGGCTGCCCTGCAGGTTTCCCTGCAACAGGTATTCCATGATCTATTGTAACTGAGATACTGTGCTCTTACCTTTGTCACGTCTTTTGTATCACTTTATTTTGGGGCTGCTCAAAGTAGTACATACTATGCTGTTTGCAAAGCACTGTTCTAAGCATTTGGCAAATGTTAGCCTTTTTAATTTTCACAGCTACCTCCTGCGGTAGGATAGGTATTTTCCTGCCTTTATAGCTGAGGAAACTCCAGTTCAGAGAGGTTGAATCACTTCTCAAGGCTATATTACTAATAAGTGGCAGAGCCAGGATTTGAACCCAATCTAGTTCTAGCATTCCCACCCTAAAACACAATTACCTGCTGTCTCTATAAATTAACACTTGTATTGGTTTTCTAGGGCTGCCATTAAAACACACACACACAAACACACAAACTAGGTGGCTTAAAACAACAGAAATTTACTGTTTCATGGTTCTAGAAGCTAGAAGCCTGAGATCAAGGTATTGGCCCGTTGGTGCTCTCTGCCGCTTCTAGAAGATTCTTCCTTTCTTTTCCAGCTTCTGGTAACCCCAGGTGTTCTTTTGCTTGTGGTACTATAACCCCAATCTCTGCCTTCATCTTTCCATAGTGTTCTTCCTGTGTTTCTGTATCTCCCCATGTTCTAATAAGAATACCAGTTGTATCAGATTAGGAGCCACTCTATTACAGTATGACCTTACCTTACCTAATTACAACTGAAGAGACCATATTTCCAAATAAGGTCACATTATGAGGTACAGGCATACCTTGTTTCATTGAGCTTCACTTTATTGTGCTTCACAGATGTTGCGTTTTTTTACAAATTAAAGGCAAGACCTTCCACCTGCAAAAAAGATTACTCTTTGCTTTATTGGGATGGTTTGGAACTGAACCCACAGTATCTAAGAGGTATGCCTGTACCGGAGGGTTAGGATTTCAATATATCTTTTATTTTGGTAGTTGTAATTAAACCAGTAACAGGACCTAAAAAGTTTTGTTGTAAAATTATATGTAGTGTATTTTATAGAGAGTTTACCAAGATAAATGAGAGGTAGTGTCAAAGTGAGAATTATCGCTGAGACACTTGATTGTTTTGTCTTAACCTGTGTGACTTAATGATTGACTAAGATAATGGTCTTGAAAACTTTCCAACTATTAACAGTGTATATCTCCTTTTTGATTTCTAAAAAATGACATTATACCTGTGTGTATTTTGCATAGTCCATCAGGATTGCTTATACCTTAATGAAGCAAATGTCCAGCTGACATCTGTGAAATGATGGTCTAGTTTGTTATTAAGTATTTTCCTAAAGCTGTTTTATGCAATATTTAGCAGTTCTATAAAGAGAAAGTGTTATGTTGTGTGTTTCCCCTTGGCTGGAGATAGAAAAGTAATCTGGACAGAGAAAAAGATTTTAAAATGATTTAAGTAACTGAGCTTTTGTTGTAACTTTTGATCTAAAGGTTCTCCCAAATGATCCAGTCTTTCTTGAGCCTCATGAAGAAATGACTCTCTGCAAATACTATGAGAAAAGATTATTGGAATTTTGTTCAGTGTTTAAACCAGCAATGCCGAGGTCTGTGGTGGTAAGTTATGGTAGTGATGAAGTACAATGCCCTTGAGCTGACTTCTGAAATATAACCTCTTCTAAATTTGTAACTCAGTCCTGTATCCACTTCATTCGAATGCAGCTTAGTTATATATCATTTATGTATTTTAAGTTTTTGTCACATTATTTTTCAATAACTGTCTCAAATTATGCATTCCTATATCATATCTTATAAAGCATTCAAGGCTCATTTCATAGTCAGAAGAATTTTGGGGTCTGTTAGATAGGCCATGTTTTATAGTGAAAGAAAAAAATAAATTACTTTTTCTCCAGGTTCTCAGTTGATGAGTAGAACTGGGACCAGAACATAGAATAGTGCTTTTTCAGCTGTATCACACGCATTTGAAATAATTCATTCATTCATCATTTGTAATCATATGTTCCAGCTAAAGCCAAAAGGAATTTTTAAACCTGATTAGTAGAAGCGGGAGATTTTCATTGGGTAAAATATTGTCTTGTGATTGTTTCAGATACATGGTTCTGAGGACCCCTTCGTGTGTGTGTGTGTGTGTGTGTGTGTGTGTGTTTACTGTGCTGGAACAATGGTGAGGAGAAAGAAGTAGTTAGAATTTTTTGGCTATTTGTATTTACATTCACTGTCCCTGTAATTGTCCCTTTTGTGTATATTGTTATTTAGCAAAGATAAGCTGAGATTAAAAAGCTGGAAGATACAGAAAAAAGAGAGGATAAAATATATATATATATATATATTTTTTATCTCACCGAGTTGTTTTGAAGAACAAATGTGAAAGTATCTTAATTGAAGGTCTATCTTGAGTTGTAAAGTCACACAGAGTGAATAACTTAGTTCACACCAGGGAATAACCCCCTAGGAAATAATCTCCATTTTTTATAGTTGGAAAAATTGAAGTTTATTGAAAATATTGAATCCAAAAGTATTCATTGTGTCTTCTTCGTTTACCAGACCTTCATTGAGAGATCAAAGATTCAGGAAGAATTTTAGATACACTTGATTAGTTTCTAGCTCCAGATTTAGTTCTCTTCTGATAAAAGAACTATAACCTAAAGTAGTAGGTTTAAGTGATCTTTACAGATGCAGAAACTGAATCCTTAATGGAATTTGTTTTTATACAACATGCTTATTTATAATTGAAGAATTTTTTTTCACATAAAATATTTAAAAGGAAATATTCTTTTTAAAATCATGAAATAGATAAATTTATTTTATTCGTTCTAGCCAAATGACATAGTGGTTAAAAGTACAGGCAGTTCACCCTGACTGGTGTGGCTCAGTATGTTGGGCACTGCCCCACAAAGCAAAAGGTTGCCAGTTCAATTCCTGGTCAGAGCATATGCTAGGTTGCCGGTTTGGTCTCAGGTCGGGATCATATGCTTTATCTCAATCTCTTTCTCTCTCTCTTCACCTCATTAATAAATAATTTTTAAAAGTACAGGCAGTTTTTTGTTGAGTTCAGTCCTTATTAAGATGTATGACTTTGTCCAAGTCAGTTAATCTCGTTGATACTCCATTTTCTTCTTTGTAAAGTTAAGATAGCAGCGTTTCCCCGGCTGTTTTAAGAATTGGAATGAGATGGTAGTTTTGTGCACCGAGCCTGGCACGTGGGATTCAGTCAGTGAGCAGTAGGTGCTGCTTCCACTGTTTGGTTGGGCAGCAGTGATCGTGGTTCATATCACAGACCTGAAGTGGATTTAGGGAGGAGGCTGATTGCCTCAACTCTTGTACTCGATATTTTTACAAAATTGAGTGGTTAAGCTGTGAACATTTGTATTTTTCCTCCTTAATTTTTCTAATTTGGGTCACTTTGGATATTCTGAATTCTAAAATAAACATTTTTTTTAATAAGCCAATAACCATAGAAAGGATAACCCAAGGTGGGTAGGGACAGTCAGCAAAGGGTCTTTTGGCTGTGATGTTTCTATAGTATTTTATCACAGTTTATTGTGCTAAAGTATAATTAAGTTTTGGTATTTTGTATAAATACCATTTTCAAAGAAACTTTTTTTATTTATTGGCATAACATTGGTTAATAAGATCATACAGGTTTCAGGTGTACATTTCTATGAAACCTGATCTGTACATTGCACTGTGTGTCCACCACCCAAAGTCAGATCATCTTTCATCCCCATATATTTGGCCCCCTTTACCACCTGCCCCTCATAACCACTGTACTGTCGTCTGCGTCTGAGTTTCATTTTTATATCCCATATATGAGTGAAATCATACGGTTCTTAGCTTTTTCTGACTGCCTCGTTTTGCTTAGCATCATCTTTTCAAAGTCTATCATGTTGTTGCAAAGGGTGGTATGTCATGTTTTCTTATGGCTGAGTAGTATTCCATTGTAGATATGTACCTCATCTTCTTTATCCAACCCTTTACTGAAGGACACTTGGTGTTTTCATATCTTGGCCACAATGAATAATGCTGCAGTGAACATAGGGGTACATATATCTTTGGAAATAAATTTCTTGAAGAAACTTTTGATAAATAAGTTTTAGTTTTTACATTTAACATGTATCTGTGAATAGATTCTGATTATATATATATTTTTTTAACTTTAGGGCACAGCTTGCATGTATTTCAAGCGTTTTTATCTTAATAACTCAGTAATGGAATATCACCCCAGGATAATAATGTGAGTATAAATTTAATTTATTTTTATGTAAGAGGACCTTCATACTGTGTGTGTGTGTGTGTGTGTGTGTGTGTGTGTGTGAGAAAATACTTCCTAGTAAAAGGTAATTTAGACTCCCATTCTATTCTGACCTTAAGATCCCTGAATATACATACTCCTTACATACCTGTAATACTTCCCCATAATACTAATGTCATCTGAACTTTAACTTGTACAAATTCAAATAGTGAGGTTTTTTTTTCAAGCTAGCTTCCCTAATGCCCCTTTCTCCTCTCAGTTGCTGAGTGAGAATTACTAGTCGTACTTCCTCTCCTACATCCAGCCAGTTTACAAATCCTATAGGACCAAAGTCATTTCAACTGGACAGAGGTCTTTGTGTTTCTGCCTCCGCTGAGCACTCTGCTCGTCATTGAAGATAAAATCGAAAGTAGTAGGAGGCTCATTAAAATGCTTACTGTCCATCACATTGTCCCTGTTTGTTTTTTCCATTTTTTATTCCCATTTCGGTCAGGTCCTTGTTACTTCAATCTTGATTTTTTTTCAGTAATTTTATTACTAGCATCTCATTCTGAAATTTGTGTAGTAGTGATGAGTTTCTTAGGTTTGTTCATACATTAGTAATCACCTATTCAAATGCCCTCGGAGACTTCCACTGATGGGTCTTCCACAAAGGTAGTTCTGTAACCTACGTTTCATCCCTGCTCATATGGTGTGTATATGTGTACTTTTGCATTTTTTTCTCTTCCATCTCTATTTCATGATTCAGAGTACTCCTACCCCTCAGTCATTTTGTTCTTCCATATTTTAGGTTGAATGCTATGAAACTGCCTTTAAGTCATTAATGTTGAATGCTGCTGCACGGTTCAACCTAATTGTATAGTCTTTTATGAATTAAAAGTTTGAACTGGGAAACTGTCAGGAAGCTGTCAGGAGACAGGAAACTGTCTCCTCTCTCTCTCTTTAAAACATATCCTGTGATGTCTGTGATGTTGTGAATGTTAGGTAATTTTAGAATGTACTTTCAGAAATAAAATATTTAGATGTTTTTCAAAGTGCATATATACATATATATATAATCCCTAGTTATGTGTGTATAAGAGAAAATTACTTCCTAGTAAAGGATAATTTAGACTTGCATTCTATTCTGAATTTAAGATTCCTCATTATAGTCATTATATTTTCTACTAGGCTCACTTGTGCATTTTTGGCCTGCAAAGTAGATGAATTCAACGTATCTAGTCCACAGTTCGTTGGAAATCTGCGGGAGAGTCCTCTTGGACAGGAGAAGGCACTTGAACAGATTTTGGAATATGAACTGCTACTTATACAGCAACTTAATTTCCACCTTATTGTTCACAATCCTTACAGACCGTTCGAAGGTTTTCTCATTGACCTAAAGGTAATTTTGTTGCTATAAAGTAAACTAGTAGAGTACTCCTTTGCTGTCATACTATAACCACAGGAATTCAAAATTATAACTTTTAATTATCTTAATTGTTACAACATGGCCTCAGCTAAATCTTGAGTGCGGCCTAGGGCAGTAATCCTGTTTCAGTATGCAGCAGAAGCACCTGGAGAGTTTGTAACTCAGTGTTGGGCTCCAGTTCCACAGCTTCTGATTTAGTAGTTGGCAAATACTGATTCAGGGATCATAATGAGGACCACTGTGAGTTTACAATAATGCTTTTAAAAACTTAAGATATCTCTTACAACTCTGAAGTATACTTCATCAATCTAACTTAAAGAACCATAAAAAAAATTCTCAATTTTAAACAAGAAGATTACTAAGTGACTTCTAGTTTTAGTGCACTATGAACTGGAATCAATATGTAGGCATAAAAAAATGTAAGTAAATAAGTATTGGCAAAAGCAACTTTTAAGGTATTTTGTTTTGACCCTGAAAAAGAACTTGGATTATCTGAGTAAAGTCAAACAGGAATCAGAAACTGGTTCATTCATCTCAGGTGAAAGGTGAAATTTGGGTACCTTCTGTATGCCAAACATTGTGCTTGATGGTAATGCCAGGAACAAAACAGGAACATCCCCATCTTTTCTACACCTACAGTCTGAGGGGAAAGAGGATCGTTTGTTCAGATGCTCAGTGTTACAGAGAGGGAACTACAGGGTACTTTAAAAGGAGATAGCAGATTGAAGGGAAGGGAGAACATTTCTGAGAAGGTGTCATTTAAAGTGAAATTCATACCAAGAGTGGGAATTTGGTGGTGAAAGAGCATCCCAGTAGAACTTCTCTGGTCAAAGGCCCAGATTCAAGAACAGTGGGACCCTAAAGAACCTAAGTAGCTTAGAAATGGAGGGAAGACTGCTACGGAGAGTACAGCCGGAGTGCAAGGCAGCACCTAGACTGTGGAGGTGATGTTGCAGATTTTGAATAGAGCAGTGGTAAGCCAGTAAAAGATTTAAATCTGGTGAGTGGCAAATTAGGTTTACACCTTTAAAAAAGTTGTGTTTTCAAGCTCACGCATCAGGTTCCATCAAATATTTATCGCACATCTGTATGTATCACAATGATGTGGAGAATGGATACAAGGATACCATTACTATGCTCTTAGTTTCACTCGTGTAGCAGCGGGGGGTCCAGAAGGAGCTTCTGGGACTTCAGAGCTAGGAGGCAGCATCAGTAGAGCTTGAGGTTTCATTGCGTATAGAGAGTGAGGACCGGTGAGGAGCCTTTGGGTTTCTGGCCTGAGCACGTGGTGTTACACTTTCTGATATGGGAAGTACTGGCATGAGAGAAAGTTGTGGAGGGGTCGAGGGGTGGAGGGTTGATGAATTTGGTTTGGAACCTGGTGAATTTTCATTGCCTGCCACATATCCAGGTGGGCCGTCATTTGTATCTGGAGGTCAGAGAAGATGGCTACATGTGCCCCAGGAAAATTTAAAGTGGGCTGGCCACAAGGACTGTTGAAAGGGTAGGCGGAGAAATAGGAGAATCTGGTAAGAAGGGTGAAGAATGTCCAGAGAGGTAGGCTTTTCTAAAGAAGTGGAGTTGAAAACTTAGAAGAGGAGCACGGGCAACTCCCCACTCCTCCCAGAATGTAGGTGGAGTAAAAGTAGATGGATACCATTTGCTGGATTTAGTGCCAGAAAGGTCATTTTTGATCTTGGTGAGATTAGTCTTTGTGGAGTGTGAAGGAAGAAGGCCAATTAGAGCCATTTGGGGAATAAATAGAAAGTGAGGAAACATGTATGTAACTTGGATTAAACAGCTTGTCTTTGAAGTGGGGAAAGATGGAATTATTGAGAAGATGGAACTGCTAGAAATAGAGAAAAGGGACTTTTGTGGAAGAAACTGCTGTGGGGAGCTGTTAGTAAGAGAAAGCTTACAGGGAAAAGTGGAAAATACGGAGCTCATATTTCTCTTTGGAGTAAGGTAGAAGGGTTGCCTTGAGAATAACAGCTTTTAAGGTGGGAAAAGAGGGAAGCATGGGTGAAGATAGGGTTATGCCTGGGATTTGGTGGTGGCAGGAGATAGAATGTTGTTCCTTGTTAGCAACAGAGATCATTTCTGAGAATGATGGAATTTCCGAGCATTATTAAAGACGTTGAGAGAGATGGAAATGTTTAACATAGTCACTAAAAAATAGAACAAATGTTCTATGGAATGTTACAGTGTTGAAAGCCCCTACTAAGATCAAAGAACCAAATTTATAATAATACCAGACCTACTTGTTGTATTGTTTCCTCTAGTAGCTCAGAAATCTGGGTATGGTTGCAAAGACAGTTTGTTGAATTCACCTGTTGTTGAAGTTTAGTCACAAATGTGTTGGCAGCATATCAGGGCAGGGAGTTCAGGAGGGAAATAAGGACCATAGGACACAGGTGAGCTGGAGCAAATGGAGGGATAAGGGACCAAGGTTCTAAGGAGACAGCCAAAGAATAGCTGTGAAATAATTGAGCAAATGTACTGGGAAAAGGAGTACTGTGGTCAAGTGGAATGTCTGAATTTATTATATCTGAGGTCAGGCATTTTGGGATAATGATAAGACCTGCATGTGACTACACAATTGTATCTGCTGCTTTGCTTCAGATTACATTGTGGAAAAGATTTCTTACTACTTCAGGACCTGAATGTGGACAGCTATACTAAATCCAAGGATTTAGGGCTCATCTTAAAGTGTAAGAGTTGTCAGAAAATACGGGAATTTCCATATTTCTTAGTTCAATTACAGAATTATTGAAAAAATAATTCTGTAATCAAACTAAGATTAGTTTCCATTTGCTTCTTCTCAAAAATAGATTTAAATAGAGGAATTTGAAATCAAAGTGAACATGTGCTTTGCTTCCTAAATGTTGTCTTACATCTGAATCCCCTGGCTTGCCTGGATGTGTTTACCTGGGAGTATGTATTTCTCAGGGTAGCTTCAGACCCAGTGGAATTTCTAAGAGCCTCCTTTCCCTTTACTCAGAAGGACAAAGAAAGGGATTAACGTAAATCAGAATAGCCAAGTACTATGCTGGGAACTTGAGCTGTCTTATCGTAAAGCAGATATTATATAGTGACCGCACTTTCAGTACATTCTAATGGTGAGTACAGAATAATCTTAACATGTAAAGATTCTGGTTGTTGCTGTGGTATTGAAAAGAAGTTACTTTTACAAAAGCACCCTGTGTTATATACTTTGTGGTCAATATAGATATTTTGAACTGTTGTTACTCCATTAAACTCTCATAAGTAATAACATTTGCAAACTTTCTCTCTAGACCCGCTATCCCATGTTGGAGAATCCAGAGATTTTGAGGAAAACAGCTGACGACTTTCTTAATAGAGTTGCGTTGACGGATGCTTACCTTTTGTACACACCTTCTCAGATCGCCCTGACTGCCATTTTATCTAGTGCGTCCAGAGCAGGAATTACTATGGAAAGGTACTGGCTTGTGTTTTAACTCAGATCACTTGGGCACTCGATTTATTTCTTCCTGGAGTCCGGATATAAAGGACAATACTCACTTTTGTGAATATCATCCTTTGTATGTCCCATGGCTAGAAAGGTGGGGGCAACTGAGGGAAGAAATGAAATCACCTTTTAAGGAAATCTTTAAAAAAACTGAGGATGATATTTTTGAGCTAAGAGGGTCTGTTTATGACTAAAGTAGAAGTAAATTAGTTGATCTTCAAAAGACTGATAAAGTTATGACTACATGGCAAATTCAGAAGTTTTATGAACTGATAAGCAACATGAGTGCACAAAATTGTCTGCTTGTTTTGTTCTGCTATGGAGCATGTGTGGCACCTGGAATTGAGTAAAGTTTTTATTGACTGAATAATGCTTTAGAGAATGTCCAAATGAATTGCAGCTCAGCTGTAAATAGTAATAGTTAACACATAAATGCACACCGAGAATGAGGTTCTAAGTACTTTACTTCAATCTAATTCACTTGATTCTTATAGCAGTATCTTGAGTACAGATTAATAATTATGCCTGTATTATTTATATTTATAACTTGAGTACAGTCTTGCAGCAAATTAAACTTTACATTTTTATATTTAATTTCTTTGAGACCTTTGAGGTCTGCTTGATTTTATTCCTTGAAATAGCTGAGAAAGTGTTCTACATGTTTGTCATCCCTCATTCGTAACTTCAGAATCCATTTGTGTGGGACAGCAAACATAAGCAGACGTGATTGAGTCTGCTCAACTTAATGGGAACGTGTTTTCTTGTGAAACATCACTCTTCGTTACTAACGACAGGGTGCTGCCCCACGTGTCACTGCAGTGCTCAGGTTGTATTCAGGGCGTGCGCACCAGGTTACCTTTGCAAGCCATGAACAGTTCTGATTTCAAAACAAATCCAAGATAAAGATTTGCAGGCTTGTGTTTTGTTTAATTTCTGGTATGCTGCTACTCTACAGATAGAGCTAACTAATTGTATATAAAAATATACATTTAATCCCCAAATGATACCTATACAATTTCTAAGCAAGCCTTTATTGAATGCCTTCTGTGTACCATGCACTGTATTATACTTTAGGAATACAATAATTAACAAGGTATATATCCTTGCCCTAGTTGAAAAAGATAATCATACAAATAATTGGTATCAATGGAGTTTAGGTGTGAGGTTTCCAGTCTTTAAGGGAAGAAAGCCTCTCTTCAACAGTTCAAATAACAAGTGAGTATGTTTAAGTATCATATCTATACAGTATATATGCAAATTATTCAGGGGTAAAATTTTTTCTTAGAGGATTTTGTTGATGGTTTTCTTTTCTGTGCAAAAGCTTTTTAGTTTGAAGTAGTTCCATTTGTTCATTTTTCCTTTCATTTCCTTTGCCTGAGGAGATTTACTAAAAGCAATGTACAAGAGTTTACTGGTGATGTTTTCATCTAGGAGTTCTATGGTTTTGGGTCTTGTATTTTACTTCTTACTTTGAGTTTATTCTTGTGTGGTATAAGAAAGTGGTCTAGTTTTATTTTCCTTTGCATGTAGCATCTGTCCAGTTTTCTCAACACCATTTATCGGAGACACTGTCTGCCCTATCGTATGTTCTTGTCTCCTTTGTCATAGAGTAACTGACCATATAGGTGTGGGCTTATTTCAGGACTATCTGTTCTGTGCCATTGATCTCCACATGTGCTTTTGTGCCAATACATTGCTGTTTCATTACAGCCTTGGATAGTTTGATATCAGGTAGTGTGCTACTTACAACTTTGTAGTTGTAAGTTACAACTTTGTAAGTTACAACTTTGAAATCTGTCAAGATTTCTTGGTTATTTGGGATTTTAAGTAGAATTACATGAATTAAAGATTAACTTGGAGATTTTTTATTCCCAGGAGTTTATTCATTTCTTCAAGGTTGTCCAATTTGTTGGCATATAATTGTAATAATTTCTTTTTTTTTTTTAAGATTTTATTTATTCATCCTTAGAGGGGAAGGGAAGGAGAGAGAGAAATATCAATGTATGGTTACTTCTTGTGCGTCCCCTGCTGGGAACTGGCCTGCGACCCAGGCATGTGCCCTGACTGGGAATTGAACTGCGATACTTTGGTTCACAGGCTCGCACTCTATCCACTGAGCTATGCCAGCCAGGGCTAATTTCTTATAATCCTACGTATTTCTGTGCTATCAGTCATCACTTCTCTTTCATTTCTGATTTTATTTACTTTTGTTTTCTTCTTGATGAGTCTGGTTAAAGGTTTATCAATTTTCTTTAAAGAAAACAGCTCTTGGTTTTATTGATCTTTTATGTATTTTTAGATTCTATTTTATTTCAGCTCTGATCTTTATTTCCTTCTACTCTCTTTAGGCTTTTTCTTTTTCTGGTTCCTTTAGGTGCAAGGTTATATTGTTTGAGATTTATTTGTTTCTTCATGTAGGCCTGTATTACTATGAATTTCCGAGCTGTATTCCATAGATTTGGGGTTGTTACATTTTCATTTTATTTCAAGGTATCTTTTGATTTCTTCCTTGACCTCATCATTTATTAACTTGTTATTTACTGTCCATGTGTTTGTGTTTTTCAGTTTTCTTCTTGTAATCGATTTCTAGTTTCATAACATAATGATTAGGAAGATGCTTGATAAAATTCCAGTTGTCTTAAATTTTTTAAGACTTGCTTTGTGGCCCAGCATGTCATTGACCCTGGGAGATGTTTCAGTTGTACTTGGAAAAAATACATATTCTGCTTCTTTTGAGCAAAATGTTTTAAAAATATCAAATACAGGGGTACCTCAGTATTTGTCCATTAACTTGTTCCTGAACTTGTGGTGAGTGCCGAAACCCACAAATAGCAAGCAAGCCGCGGATGATGAAGCATTTTCTCTTGTGGGGCAGCGTCATGACTCAGACAAGTTGTAGTAAGTATGATGAGTCCCACATGAGTGCCAAGTGCTGAGACTTTTTTTTTCCATTAAAATGGAACAAGTACAGGGTTTGGCGAGTTTTGAAGCCCATGAGTACTGAGGTGTGGCTCTACATACATCTGGTCTAATATTTCATTTAAGGTCACTGTTTCCTTGTGGGTTTTCTATCTGGATAATCTGTTGATATTAATGAGGTGTTAAATTTCCCTACTATTACTGCACTAGTGTTTCTTTACCCCTTTATGTCCATCAATATTTGCTGTTTAAAATTTTTTTAAAGCTTTTATTTATTTTTGAAGAAGAGAAGGGAAGGAAAGGAGAAAGAGGGGGAGAGAAACATTGATGTGTGAGAGATACATCCATCGGTTGCCTCTTGCACACCCCCAGCTAAGGACCCACGTGCAACCCAGTCATGTGCCCTGGCTGGAAATTGAACCGACAGCCTTTCTGTTTACAGGTGGGCACTCAGTCCACTGAGCCACACCAGCCAGGGCAATATTTGCTTTATATGTTTAGATGCTCCTACATTGGGTGTGTGAATTTTTACAATGGTTAGTATATGTCCTCTTGTTGGATTGTTGTCTTTATCATTATGAAATATCCTTTTTTGTCTCATGTTATATATAGCCTTTATTATATATAAAGTCTATTTTGTCTGATATAAATATTGCTACCCCACCTTTTTTGTTTGGTCCATTTGCATAAAATATCTTCCCTTTATTTCCAGTCTGTGTGTGTCTTTCAGCTGAAGTAGGTCTCTTGTAGGCAACGTACGTATGGGTCCTGTCTTCTAATCCATCGAACTACCCTGTCTTTTGATTACACCATTTGTTCCCATGTACATTTAAAGTATATTATTGATAAGTATATTGCCATTTTATTGTTTTCTGATTGTTTTTGTAGTCTTCCTTTCTTGTTCTTTTGCTCTCTTATGTGTTGATTTTCTATAGTTTTGTGTTAGATTCTTTTTGCTTCGTTTCTTATATATATCTTAGAGATTTTTGATTTGTGGTTACCATGTGCTTCCTGTATACCAAGCTGTGTTTATAGCAGTCTATTTTAAATTGTGGTTGCTTCAGTTTGAACACAATCTGTAAACACTCCCATTTTAACTCACTCCTTCCATATATATATATATATTTTTTTTTTTAATTTTTTAAATTGATTTTGAGAGAGAAAGAAGAAAACATTGATTTGATGTTACACTTAAGCATTCATTGGTTGATTCTTGCATCTGCTTGGACCAGGAATTGAACCCACAGCCTTGGTGTATCAGGACAATACTCTAACCAACTGAACTACCTGGCCAGCCAGGGCTCATGTTTGGGTTTGTTATTATTTTTTACTGCTTTTATGTGTGTCTGTTACTGTGTATTCTTTGATTTCCTGTTACAGTTACTCATGATCTTACTACTTTTGTCTTTTAACCTTCATGGTAGATTTTTATTAGATTGACCCACTGCTTTTATTGTGCTTGTCTTCATCGGATTTTTTTTTCTTTGCTATATTTTCTTATTCATATTTTTTACTCTTTCTTAATGAATTCCCTTTAACATTCCTTGTAATACTGGTTTAGTGTTGATGAACTCTTTTAGCTTTATCTTGTCTGGAAAACTCTGACTTTTCTTCAAGTGGAGTAATATTGGTTCTAAGCCCTTGCTTTTCATCATTTTGAATTATTTTTTGCCAGTCCCTCTGACCTGCAGAGTTTATGTTGAGAAATAGGCTGACCACCTTGTGGGAGCTTTCTTATACATGACTATCTGCTTTTCTCTTGTTACTTTTAAGGTTCTCTCTTTGTCATTTTTACTTTGGGCATTTTCATTATGATCTTTCTTGATGTGGGCCTCTCTGAGTTCATCTTGTTTGGTTCTCTGTGCACCTCCTGGATTCGTATGTCTCTTATGTTCACCAGGTTTGAAAGTTTTCCATCATCATTTCTTCAAACCGGTTCTCAGTCCCTTGCTCTTACTTTTCTTGTTCTGGTACTCCAATGATGCAGGCAGTGTAAGCTGATCCAGAAGTTCCTTAAACTATTCTTACTTTTTAATTTTTTTTCTTTTTGCTGTTCTGATATTTTTTGCTACCTACTCTTCCCAGTCACTGATTTGATCCTTTGCTTTATCTAATCTGCTGTTGATTCCATTGAAGGATTTTTTTCTGTTACTGTATTCTAAATTTCTGACTGGTTCTTCTTGATGGTTTCTCTTTGTGTATCTTTGTTCACCCCTTTATTTCTAGTCTATGTGTACCTTTCAATCTGAAGTCTCTTGTAGAAAGCACATGTAAGGGTCTTGTTTTCATAACCATTCAGCCATCCATTCAGTCTTCTGATTGAAGCATTTAATCCATTTGCACTTAATTATTCATAGATATGTATTTATGGTTACTATTTAATTACCATTTTATTTCCAAATTTATCACTATTTTATTCATACTTTTTTATTTCCTTCTTAAACAAAGACCCTTTAACATTTCTTGTAATAATGGTTTGGTTGTGATAAACTCCTTTCTTTAGCTTTTTCTTGCCTGGGAAGCTCTTTATCTGTCCTTCCGTTCTAAATATAGTTTCACTGGGCACAATAATCTTGGTTGTAGGTCCTTACTTTTCTTCACTTTGAAAGATTTGTGTCAATCCCTTCTGGCCTACAAAAGTTTCTGTTGAGAAATTGGATGTCAGTCTGTGGGAGCTCCCTTGTAGGTAACTGCTTTCCTCTTGTTTTAAGAATCTGTCTTTGTCTTTAACCTTTTGCATTTTAATTATGATGTGTCTTGGTGTGGGCCTCTTTGGGTTCATATTGTGTGGGACTGCACTTCCTGGACTTTGTGGGGTTTTTTTCCCCCTTCACCAGGTTAGGGAAGTTTTCAGTCATTATTTCTTTCTTTTTTTTTTTTTAGTTTTTTTTTTTTTAATTTGATTTGATTTGATTGATTATGCCATTACAGTGGTTCTATTCCCCCCTTCATTCCCCTCCACCCTGCACCCCCTGCCCCCACCATTCCCCCCTTTAGTTTATGACCACATGTCTCAAGTTCTTTAGATTCTATATTTCCCATACTATTCTTGTCCCCCCATCTATTTTCTACCTACTGTCTATGCTACTTATTCTCTGTACCTTCTTCCCCCTTCTCCTCCCACTCCCCTGTTGCTAACCCTCCTTGAGATCTTCATTTCTATGTTTCTGCTCCTGATCTGTCCTTTTAGTTTGCTTTTGTTTTAGGTGTGGTTGTTAATAACTGTGAGTTTGTTGTCCTTTCACTGTTCATCTTTTTTATCTTCTTTTTCTTAGGTAAGTCCCTTTAACATTTCATATAATAAGGGCTGGTGATTCTTGAGCTATTTTTTGGTACTTAATGCGCGTGAACAGACCAAAAATGGCTCAAGATCTCAAAGCCCCAGAGCCCATAACTCTAAGCGATGAAGAAATAGCAAAACTTTCAGATGCACAGTTATTTCTTTAAATAGGTTCTCAGTCCCATGCTTTCTCTTTTTCTGTTCTGGTACCCCTAAGATGTGGATTTAGTTACACTTGATGTTGTCCCAGAGGTCCTTTAAACTTTCCTCTCATTTTTAAAAATTCTTTTTCCTTTCTGCTGCTCTGAATGTATATTTTCTGCTACCTTGTCTCCCCAGTCATTCCCTCAGTTCTCTGCTTTGTCTGATTTGCTGTTGATTCCTTCTAGTGTATTCTTCGTTTCAGTTGTATTCTTCATTTATGACTGGCTCTTTTTTATCATTTCTATATACTTTTTTATTTTTTCTAAGTTCTCCCTATGTTCCTTGGGTATCTTTATAACCGTTGTTTTGAACTCTGTATGTGCTAGTTTGGTTGCTTTCATTTCATTTAATTACTTTTCCTTTTTCTGGAGATTTCTTCCATTCTTTTATTTGGGGCATGTTGCTTTGTCTTGCCATTTTGGCTGCCTGTGCTTCAATGAATTTAGCTAGATATGGTGGCCTTAAGTAGTGGATGTCCTGTAGGGCCCGGTTGCTCAGCCTAGCAAGTCACCTGAGCTGGGCACTCTAGGTGTGCTCCTCTACCCCTGTGTGAGCTATGTGTACCCTACTGTTGTAGTTGAGCCTTGATTGCTGTTCATGAATGGGAGGGATCAACCCTCAGGGTGACTGACAAATAGAGGGGTGGAGGTGCTATGTGCAAGGGCTGACCCTACAGAGCAGAAATTGCTTCAGCATGGCTCTGTTTGTGGCCTAGTCTGCCCCTTGAGTGTGTCACTCATGGAGTGCTCAGGTGGTAATCCATCACTGTCTGAATCCGCCTATTGTGTGCACTGCCTCTGGGGCCTCCCAATAGGTGCAGGCCAAGGTTAGCCACCATCTGTGCTCTTCCCAGGTCTACCCAGCATGGGATACAAAGTGATCTGTAGATGGCTGCTACTTGAGCAGGGTTGAAGTTGCCCAGGAGAGGCCAGGCTGTGAACCAGTTTCTGCTGTTACTGGTGCCAAGCCTGGGGATACTTAGCAAGAGGTATGTGGCACACTGAGGTCAGATATTGCTTGTTTGGGGTTTGTGAACCTTGAGAGAATATAGGAAAGTCCACAGCATGAACCAAAACAATGTTTGTATGGATAACCCACTGGAAGTGTCTTGGGCCCACAAGTTGGGTGGGATCGGATCTTAGGAAATTTCAAAGGTAGGGTGGACAGTGTTAGGTTATTGTTGGATTCAGATCTATGCTTATCTCCATCTCCAAGGGGAAAGCTCAGCAATGGCCTCCGCGAGCACTTCTGTCTGGGAAAAAGCTCTCATCCCAAATGAGGGCTCTCCAGCCCTCATTCCAGAGCCAGACAGTCCCTCCCTGAATGTCCCTGGTACGTTTTGAGCTGCTCCACAAGCACTGGGGCTCAGAGTGAGTCTAAGTAAGTCCATGCAGAAGGCTCCTTAGGAGGATCACGTGGGTTCTAGAAGCCCTCCATTTTACTCAGCCGTAATCTGCTAGTTTTCACAGCCAGAATTTATGGAGTCTTCCCCATTTAGCACTAGAACCCTGGGCTAGGGGTCCTGGTTTGGGGCTGGGACTCTGCACTCCTCAGGGGGGACTACCATAGCTGAAGTATCCCTTGTGATTTTTAACCACCAAATGTGGGTATGGGACCAGCCCATTATGAATCGCTGCCCCTTCTGCTTGTCTTATAGTGGCTTCTTTATATCCTTATTTATAGGACTTATATTTGGCTAGATTTCATATGGTTCCCAATGATGGCTGTCCTGTAGTTGTGATTTTATGTAGTTGTGGGAAGATGCAAGTACTGTGTTTACCTATTCCTCCATCTTGAATGGAGGCCTCCCTTTTATTTCTTAATCTCTACACATGGATGATGGACTAGCTCATTTTGTGCCTCTCACCCTTTTTACCAGTCTTGACATAACTTCCTCTTTCTGTCCTTGGTTATAGCATTTCTGGTCACCTAGTTTTCAGATGGTTTTCTATGATGTCTCTATAATTTTGTTATAGTTTTGATATAGTCAGTCACTGGAGGAGGTGAGCACATACCTACTCCACCATCCTGAATGGAGGAGTAGGACTTTCACATCATTACTGATTTCAGAAAGGGAAGGCCCTTGTGCTGTTGTGATGTTCTGCATGATGCTGTGATCATTAGTCACAGGATGTTCTGTTGTTAGTTCTGGGGTTTCTTCTTTTCATTGGATTTACTTTCATTTGTTTCCTCATTTGACTTCTTTTAGATACTCTGGCCTGCCTATGTTTTTTTTTTTTAATCAAAATATTAAAATTAATTCAGGATCAAGATTAATAGTTGCTAACTTGAAAGTGTTTCACAGAGTTAAAGAATGTGTGACTCTAACTCTTAGAATACATTACTTCTGTGTTTAAAAAGGAGTTTTAGGGGAAAAGAGGGAAAAGAAAAATGAATTGTTATTTTGAGTTACTAGTAATGAGAAATGAATTAGTGGTTAAGTGAGTTACTGATTTCCATATCTGAAGTTAATTCCCACAATAGATGATGATCTATTAGTTCAAAATTTGCAATATAACTTATCTTTCTAGTTTAAAAACACGTAGCAACACCGTTTCTTAAAGAACTGTCTATTTCTGTAACTTTATTTTGCCCAAGAGAAAAATTATTTCTTGCATTCATGTTTGAAATATTACTTATGCCCTGATAATCTTTTCACTTGGGCTATTGTCAATGATAGATCTAGTTCAGGTACATAAAACCTCAGAATACTCAGTGTAAAAATGATACTTTCGTATTACTGTCATTGGTTCTGAGAATGGATAATTGGGCTTTAAATCCATTTATGGAAAAGTATTAACACCTTTGATTTGGACTCGATGAAAATAAGACATAATAGAATTGCAAGGCATGGGGAAGGGCTCATATTCTTATTCATTTGACTAGCTGTAGTCCAAGAAGAATAACTATAATTAGCCTAGAGTTGGTATTAAGGAGAGAGGAATCCTTACCAATGCCAGGCTCCTGCTCTGTTATTTTTCGCTTTGTGACTTGGGGCAAGTTACATGCTCATGACTTGTCTGTCCCTGATGCTCAGATTCCTCATCTATAAAATGAGGTTCAGACTCATAAAGTTTATACATTAAACACTTACCATTAAAAGAAATGACTGTTGCTATTATTAATTTCATACCTCTAAAAGCTTATATATTATAGGTACTAAATGAACTTTGAATATTAAACATCTTTTAAGTTGTAAATCTGTAAGACTATAAGAGCTGAGTTATAGTTTTAGAGTTTAAATTATTGTTTTTACTACTTTGTAAATAATTAATTTTAAAATTGACCTGGGTGATGAAATGAACATTGTTAGGTTTTCTCAAGATGTTATATGTCTCCAATAGATTAAAACTTTCTTCCTTTTTTTAACCAGTTATTTATCGGAAACTCTGATGTTAAAGGAGAACAGAACTTGCTTGTCACAGTTACTAGATATAATGAAAAGTAAGTATAAAAGAATACTTTACAAAATATTTTATAACTAAGCTACTTTGTAAAATATCATCTTGATATTTAACTTGAGATAACAGATTGTTGTTTATACTTACTTTCATTGAATTATGGTATCTTGGAACCATGAAGGATATATTGGTGAGGAACAAGTAAAAGGTACATGAAAAGACAGAATTTTACACATACAGAACTTAAAGTAAAAATATAATCACATTCAGAAAGGCTTGAGTTTTGAAACAGGCTTCTTTTCAAATGTACACAAATATGTGATAGGCACTGGAAAAGATCTAAAGGAAACTAAATGTAAGTATGTTATTTAAATTTGGAATACGTTTTGTAGATAAATCAGCTTAACTAGTTAATATGTGTCATTTGCTGATCATTTTGTCAGTTAATATTACAAGAACTGTGGTTTTCAACTGGGTGCAACTTTTGCAGTCTCTCTCAATATTTCTGGCTGTCACCACGTGGGGATTGGTGGTGGCTGCTACCACCATGTAGTGAGTGGTAGTAAGAATGTCACTAAGTATCTTAAATTCACAGTGTACCCCCTTGGCAAGCTGAAAATGGCTCCCCAAAAGATATTCTTGTCCTAATCCCTGGAACCTATGAATTTTACTTATATGGGGGCAGGGGAGGTTTTTGGAAATGTGATAAAGGATCTTGAGAGGGGGAGATGATCAACAGATTAGCCAGGTAGGGTTTAAATGCAATCACTGGGATGCTTATTACAGAAAGGCAGAGAGGGAGGTTTGACCCAGAGAGAGAATGTGAAGACAGCAGAGATTTGAAGATGCTGGTGTTGAAAACTGGAGTGATATGGCCACCAGCTGCCACCAGAAGCTGGAAAAAGGGAGGGATGATTTCCTAGGATCTCCAGAGAGAGGGTGGCCAGGCCAGCATTTTGACTGTGGCCTAGTGAAATTGATTTCAGACTCCTGAGCTTCAGAACCAAGAGAAAGTACATTTCTGTTGTCTTGAGCCTTACTAAGTTTGTGGTAATTTTTAATAGTAGCCTCAGGAAAGTAATGTAGCCCCTTACAACAAAGAATTCTCCAGCCAGACGATCAACAGTGCTGATATTGAAAAACCCTGTTTTAGGGGTTGTGTAAAACCTCCACTTAAATGATCAGTTAGATTAACCAGCTCTGTTATTCTTTCCTGTCACATAGAATGCTCATGGCTACTTGGCTACTCTACAATAAAAAGTCAGTTGTTTTTGTCCCTAAAACTTTTTTTGCTGGTATCCTGTTAATTAAACTTGTAGTTTAATTAAATGCTGAATAAACCAATAAAATATGAGATTGAAAATCTTGATCTTAGATGATAGTAGTGAATGGGTATAATTTTTATGTTTTCAAAGTTAAGATGCTTCAGGACATAGAAGCATCATTTCTTGATAATGGTTTGAAATGATCTTAAGGGCTTTTCCCTTTTAATTGAGTGATGTATTTGTGACTTATGAATCATAAAACTGCAGGTCTTCAGTTGCATGACTCAGAGGGCTCACTTCCAAAGCTAACTGTGATTTGGCCATTGTTTTTGTTTTTTTTTTTTACATTTTTTTAATTGATTATGCCATTGTTAATGAGGATCATAGAATTTATTAGGTAGAATGGGCCTTAAAGATAACCTACTGTGATCATTTCATAGCTGACAGTTTTATTACTGACTTCTCAGTACCTTAATTTTATCCACTTATTTTAATATGAAGAATAGCTCCTGCTAAAATACTCAAGAGCTTTAACAATATTAAGGTATCTTATTCATAATTTCTTAGAACAAAGATATTACCCTAAGAGTGTTGAGTCACAAGAGTTATTTGAGTTGAAAACATTGCTTTATTTGCATTATGAAGTAAGTCAGTGAAATACTCATTTAGAGCACATGGCTGGCTGATAGTAAGCCCTGGATCTCTCATCATTCCCCTGACAAATCTTGAGATTTAATATTCTTTGGTTTGCCATTGAATAAACAGTTCCGGGAGAGGATGTTTCTGCAGTTATAGTCACTGCCATAGTAGTTTGCTTTTAGCTTAAAAGGACATTTTTATTTTCTTGGTACAGTTTCATTGAATAGGTTCTATATTTTACTGAAGCAAAGAATCATTGATTGACACATTTTTACTAAGTATCCTCCCTTTATTGGGTGTTATGTAATAATGGTTTCCTTTGTATATAAGAAGTACACTCTTGACCCACTATTTGTAGGAAAGAATGTTACGAATATGGTTGATGGCAGGAAACTGTGTATTCACTAAATGATGTGAGCCCTATTGTAGGGATTTTTGAAAGCCTTAACACAGCAAAAAGTGACCACAATAGGATTTGAAAAAATACTGGATTGTAGAGTGTGCTTATCTTTGTGCTATGTATATGGGCTAAGCAGCAGACAGCTCTAATTACCTGAGCTAGAGTACAGCGTTCATGTGTTATAAAGCAGAAGACAAATCCAGAAAAGAAGTCAAGTGGTTGTTAGATAACAAGATGGGAAAATATTCAGCTCCCCTGAGAAAAAGGCTCTTTATTATATCATATAAATCTTTTTTTTATCTTCACAATAGGCATGAGAAACTTGGTAAAAAAATATGAACCACCCAGACCTGAGGAAGTTGCTGTTCTGAAACAGAAGTTGGAGAGATGCCACTCTGCTGAGCTTGCTCTTAATGTAATTACGTAAGTAGTTGTCATAGTGTTGTTCAAAAATAGATATGGGAATCCCTGCACCTTTTCTTGTCCTTTTTAATTTCTGTATTCTTTGCAGGTCTACAATCTTATCTAAGGAACAAGTGTACCGTTCCAGACTTATTTCTGTTAGCTAGAGAAACTTGGCATATTTTCTTTCTTTGGTGAAATTTTACATTGAAGACAGAACTGATAGGAAATTTGCTGGTTTTTGTTTGCTGTTTTGCAGCCACAAAGAAAGCCCATAACGTCTTTCACTGATTTGTAGGCTGAATGTGGAAATCACATATTCAGAATCGTCATGCTTTTGCAAATTGAGGACCTACTTAAACATAGTCTTTTAAGAGTTGAAACAGTTGAGAATCTGGGCATAAAACTGCAAACCATGGTTTGGCACAGAACTTAAAATTGGTGGATTTCACTCCTGGGTTTCATCAGTAATTAACAGGAATGAAAGAACTATTACAGAGAGGCAAAGAATGTTGACTGGAATGAAGCTACAGTAGTCCCCCTCTTGTCTAATTTTGCTTTCTGGGTTTTTTTTCAGTTGTGGTCCAAAAATATTAAATGGGAAATCCCCAAAATAAACAATTCATACATTTTAAGTTGTGCACCGTTCTTAGTGTAATGAAATCTTGTAGCATCCCACTCTGTTCCCCGTGGGACGTGACTCACCCCTTTGTCCAGCATATCCAAACTGTATGTACAGTATAAGATGATTTGAGACCACATAACTTAGTACAGTATGTTGTTATAATTGTTTTTATTTTATTATTGTTGTTAATCTCTTACTGTGCCTAACTTAGAAATTAAACTTTATCATAGGTTTGTATCAAGAGAAAACAGTGTATTAAGGGTTTGGTACTATCTGTGGTTCCAGTCATAAACTTTATCATAGGTTTGTATCAAGAGAAAACAGTGTATTAAGGGTTTGGTACTATCTGTGGTTCCAGTCATCCACTGTCTTGGAATGTGTCCTCTGCAGGGCAGACGACTGAATTACAGTACTGGTAGTTTTCTTTTCATAGTGATTTGAAGTGGACTTAAACCAGGGCTTGGCATACTATATAGCCCATGGGCCAAATCCAGGTCACTTCTTGCTTTTGGAAATAGTTTTATTGGAATATAACCATACCCATTGGAATATAACCACACCCATTGGTTTGCATATTGTCTATGGCTGTTCGCAGACTACAGAAGAGCTGGGTAATTGTGACAGAAACTGACTGTTGTCGCCTACAAGGCCTAATATAATCATCTGGCCCTTAAATCAGAACTTTTTCAACCTCCAGATTACACCACGGCACTACTATTAATCCTGCCCTTGTAGCTAGGTAATGGAATGAGCCATCACCCAAAATTCTTCATTGCCAGAGTTCACATCTTGCTCAGATCACCATCTACTTTGTACTGTGCCAAGCAACTTGCACATTTCTGGGTACTTGAGGGGTGCTTCTCAAACTGTTAAAGGACTTTGTTTTTTAAATTCACTTTACTTTTGTAAAATATAACAAATTACTAGAAAATGAATAAAAGACATACAATATAAGCTTAAATTTTATTAGATTCAACAGTCATTGTTTATCACATTTCTCTAAAGGTTTCTAAACACAGTTTCCTTATGGACCACTTATAAGTGCTACTTTAGGATAACCTTTTTTCCTTAGTCTTTAAAATTCTTACATCATTTTCACTATATAAGTAGTAACTATGTCATCATTGTTAAAGTCAGTCAACACAGGTATACTAAAGTTTTCTGAATAAAAACCCAGATGCTATTTCTGTCCTCAGGAGTAATTTACAGTTTACTTTTGCCAACCTTTGTTGTGTGTGTGTGAAATAAAGGTTTTTTTTTATTAATGTTTTCATACACATTGTACAATATTTAATAGTATTAATCTTTAACTCATGCCTGTCTCGGTGAAAAAATATCATCTTTGTACTTTAACTTACATTTGTACTTTAACTTACATTTCCCATATTACTATGAGACATTAATGTTTGTTTTATAGTCATTTGTCTTCTGTATTACTTAAAACCCTTGCCTAATTTTCTGTTGTTTTGATTTCTAGTCCTGTATTTTATATATTCATCTTATTTAATATATTACATACCTATTTCCTGTTGTTCATTTCCTTCATGCTTTTATATTGAAATACCTTTTAACCTAAATTAATCTACATTTTATTTTGCCTTTTCAGCTGTTTAAACCATTTAGAATTGTTTGTGAATAGTCTGAGGTAGAAATCTCATATTAATTTTTTCAAACCAATAATTATGTCATTAATATTTCATAATTTTAATTTTAAATATTTATTACAGATTAAATTCTCAGGGTTTTTATTTATCTGCTCTAATCATTTTAATCTGTTTAACTCTTTGTAAATACTATACTTTTAATTACCATAGCTTTTACATATAATGTTTTGATGAGAACTGAGATATAATCAGACATGGTCCTCATACTTCTTTTTCAGATTCCTTTTGCTATTTTTGCATAATCTTTCCCAGGTCAGAGTTAGACTTGATGAGTTCCATGAAAAATTTTATTAGGATTTTAATTAGAATTACATTAAATTTAAAGTTGACTTTGAAAGATAGTCTTCATAATTATTCATCTCTTTCCACCTATCCAGGCCTTGTTCTTTGGTAGAGAGATAATATTTCATATAGCCTTGCTCGTTTATTTTACAGTTATGTGGCCAGTTGTTAGACTGCTTATTGATGGTTGCTTAATTACAGGAAGAAAAGGAAAGGCTATGAAGATGATGATTATGTCTCAAAGAAGTCCAAACATGAGGAGGTATGTTCTCCAAAAGTAAATAAGTTACTGTGCATTCTGGTGTGACCATACTATTAAGATTTTATTGTTCCAGAGTGCAAAGATTTATATGTTATATATATATATGGGTTGGAAAGCCTCCATTTTTTTGCACCCTTCATGTACATACATGGCCTGTTACTATAGAGATTTTTTTCCCTCATTTTTGGCTTTGTTCTGAAGCAGTAGAATACTGGATGAAGAATCCTTCTTGTGGTCATAAACGCAGCAGAGGTAGACACACATGCTATGATATTTTGTTCTATTTTTCACTCTCCAAAGATTCTTCTACTCTTAAAAAAAATAGATATACCTGGCAAGTCAGATATAAATGAATAATCAGAGGCTGCAGGTCACAACTGTAACCATTATTTCTGTCACTGGAGTCGTCGGGTAAGACCATGCCATTGTTACAAGATTAAACAACTACACATTTTCTTGGTTTGTATACCTTCTGTAATCAGCATTGTAAAGTAAAAGGAGAAAGTTTTCCTAAGTCAGGGAGTCGAGGAGATAAACAGTCCTCTTCAGTACGATGATGTCCTTACTGCATCTTCTTTCCTTCTCAGGAAGAGTGGACTGATGATGACCTGGTAGACTCTCTCTGACCATTTGAAATTGATCTGTCAATGCTTCCGAATCAGCAGAAGGATGGAACACTTCAGGCATTTAAATTTCTTTAAAAATGAAATAATGTGAAAGCATCAAAATAAACATTTTTATTTGTTCAGGGTAGCTTTATATGAAGTAAAACATCTTCAAAGGACCCAGAATAGCACCTGGTTTAGATAATCTGGGCCCCCCCCCATAACTAATATGAAATTTAGTCTTTCCATAGTAGCCAAATGAAAGCTGTAGTTTCTTTGCCTATGTTGCTTCAAACAAAATACAATAAGAAAACATCCCTTTTGAAAAGAGGCACCATGAAAAACAAAACTTAGTATTCAGCTTTAAACATGTTAAGGGATGCTTTTTTGCTCTCTAGAAACCTTTATGTATGGCTTTTCAAATGGCATCCTGATATACTTAGCTATTTGTATGTTAGTTTAATTATACAGAATGTACTTCAACTGTTAATGTGGTATTGATAGCTTATCCCCACTCAACGTATGGGGATATTTGTTTTTCCCAATCAGTTAACTAAAAACATGTCCAAAAGGGATTTTTAAAAAAATACTGATTTTAGAGATAGAAACATTGATTTGCTGTTCCACTTATTTATGCATTCGTTGGTTGATTATTGTATGTGTCCTGACCAAGGATCAAACCTGCAACCTTGGCACATGGGGACAGTGCTCTACCACCTAAGCTACCCAGCCAGGGACTCCGAAATGGCTTTTTTAACAGAGGAAATCAAATAAATAGCCTTTAGTAGTTGTCTAGACGAAAACCCAGTTGTTAAAGGTAAAGTAGGTAAGTAGCAAGTTATATGTTTGGTTTTATAATTAACCTTAGATTAACCAAGTGACTGCATATAAATATGTTACAGTTACTAGAAATTTTTCAGAGTGAATATAAAAATACAAAGGCACAGGCTGTGGCACCTAATCAGTTGTGGCTCTGGGAAAGTTATTAAACCCCTCTGTGCCCATTTCCCAAGGTAGAAAATGGAGAAAATAATACCTACTCCTCACAGGATTACTTAGAATAGTGCCTTTATATAGTAAGTGTTCAACAAATGTTGGCTATTACAGTATGGTTATTATTAACTGTAATCTTGAACATTTTCTACATTGGAACCAAATTATGATGAACAACTGTTAAATTTTATAGACTCTCAATATGTAAGTTTTGTGGTTACACCTCTCCTTACTGTTAATGCATCCCTGGCTGTGCTGCCCACGCAAGTATAGGTACTATGTTAATTAACATCATAGTATTTGAGAGCAATATTTACACTATGTGTATTCTCATTTTAGGTATGAGGGCTTTTTATTTTTTAGTTTCCTTCTCATTGAATGGGAGGAATAAAATTTATGGCAGTGTGATTTTTACAAAAGTGAAAGAAGCCTAAATTGGCAGTCCATCCAGGTTAAGTACCAGTGCTGCTAGGCTCCAGACAGAATTCTGCAAGCCATTCACAGATTACTTTCTCTTTTAGGTCACTAAACTTTGGTATCAGAGCAGGGTTTACATTTATCTCAAATTTTCCTACCTCGCCTCAGTTTTAGAGATTTTATTTCATCATTAACCAGCTAGTTATTGCAAGGCCTACAAATGTAAACAAGTTTCCTATTTTAGATAAAGAGAAACATATTAAAAAATAAAAGGCAGAAGAGGAATAGCATTTCAGATTGAGAAGTGGCAGGTCAGTATGACTGAAGCCTGAGGTGTGATTACTGGTAGGGCTCCAAATGCATAGAACTAATTTTTGAACCTTTCCGCATATTGTCAAAATAGGCATTTTGGAGATGTTGCTAATCCACACTACTTTTTGTCCTCTATCCTGTGATACCAGGGAAGGAGACCCAAGTTGGATGCTACTGTGGCAGTCCACCTGAAAAACAAGAGGGATGAAAAAGTACACACAAGGAAAAACAGGCAAGGGGGTGGAAATGGAATTGAGTTGACATAAAATGTGTTGATTTTTTCTGCTCTCATTATAACTGTGACTGTAGCCACACCACGGCTAGCTGCCTTCACAGAAATAAATTTATATTGGACATAAATCTTTTAAACCGTTGACTAGTTAAACAGTGTTTTTTCCTATATTTTAATTAGAGGGATAGAGTAAAACGTTACTCGCGGGATATAGGCCTTTAGGAAATTCCTTTACTGTAGAAAATGTTATCCCTAATATTTTCCCCTTGGTTCCCGTCTGGCCAACTCTGAAATACTGCTGCATACTTTTTATACACCCTCTCCCTTGCACAATTACAGGAGTAAAGGAACTGTTGCTTAACAAATACATAAGGAATTAATGTAATCTTTCCAAAGAGACCATTAGAAAAAAAGATGATCTGAAATTTCATCTTCTCTTTGGCCTTGCTCTGGTACTAAATTTGAGCTACCCCCTAAACGAGGAAGAAAATGAAATTAAATGCTTACCTGTATTTAGAAAGAAGTAATCAATTATTTAATATCCCTTGGTTTTATTTTAACTTAACCCTTGTGAATACTTCACAAAAATACACATACTGAAGCAAATAAAACTATACAAACTAAATACCCAGCAGATACAATAAGTAGTCAGAAGTTCAAAAATGGATGGCTGTTAAAGTGACCAATGAGGTTGTCTGCATAACCAAATTCAACTTGGAATAAAAAGAATACTTTCAACAAAAAGCATTCTGGTTTTCTTTCTTTTTTAACACAAAAGAAATTGGTAATCTATAAAATGGCTGAATGGGCAACATGCATCGATCATTAGTACAACGACCAACAATATTTATTAAATTCAAACTATTTACGGTTGTAAACATTTAACAAAAAGCATTATGAAATCTAAATACAGTCTTTGACAGTTTGAATAAGTGGTATGTTTAAAAAATAAAGCTGATGAGCAATAGATCCATTCTAGAATTTTCTTTCAACAGTTCCAGCAAGAGAATAGCACAGTATTTTTAAAAACTATACAGCAAAGATTGTTCCTATTATAATGGCAAACTCTGGAAACTGTAAATACAAATAAGAGTCATTGAACAGTCAAACGGTCATATTCCCTATCAGGAAGAAGTTACAGTAAAAAGTCTGCAAATCCAGTTATATTCAATTGTTGACAGAATGCTTTTTCTTGTCAGTTGATTTCATAGTTCTTTTTCCGAGAGACAGCAAAACTTTGGCAATTGGATGTACTGAAAATATATTCTCAAAGTTCAAGATACAGTCATTTTGTTGTATGAAAGGTGGTCTGTACACCAAGGCTCAGAGGTTAAGGATTAATTCCATATGTGGAAAAAGTGCAAATATCCTGCACAGATAGCTTACAAAGCTGCTGGCTCAGTTAGTCACCAGCAGAATCTAGGGCTTTGTTTGCATAGCTCACACATCACTGGAATGTGGAAAGGTGTGCTATTTTTTGGCAAGAGCAAAGGAGACACACGGATGTGAATTACCATGTTGGGCATGTTGAATCCATGCAGAACACTTGAATGAAGGCTGCTACCTGACATCATTGGTTTTTGTATATTGGTTTTGTTTTTGTTGAAGCAGTTCTGTTATAGCCAGAAGCTTTTTCAGTACATGCTAGACAAGGAAAAACAGTATGAAAATAATTAACAAATGGATGAAAGCTTGGTCGGAAATTTCAGGGATGGAAACCTGGCTTTAGAAAATGCTATATTACCATTCCACTGAAAACATAAAATTGTCAAAGTTCAGCTGAAGTGCTGAATAATATTTTGGCTAAGATAGCATTTTTGTATACTAAAGTAACTAAAAATTCATTGTTTGGCACTCTCTTATCTACTTAAGCTAGAATACAGACTTACCGTTATAAATGACACATACATCATTAGCCCAATTAACTTGCAGCCGAGTGAACATTTTAAACAATCACGAAAAAAAAAATTGGGCTTAAAATTAAAACATCACCTTTACCTCCTATCTTAATCTCAACTGGCCCAAATCCTCCGGTAAGAATTTTAATGTTTATTATGGCAGGTAATATAATAAATCCAGCCCCAGTGTAGTGAGGAGACATACATGCCATTGGTATGTAAGTAGGCCCATGATGCACATTACCTAAGTTTCTAAAGTGACTAGAAACTTAAGGAGACAGTTATCTTAACTTGGTTTTAGAATCTCAGGTTGAAGAAAACTCAGTCCTTTAATTCCCTCTATAAGGTTGGCCAGTACAGTGACACTACTCAGGAAGAACTTACTAGAAGTGGTGATTTCCAATGTCACACTCTAAATTTCTGGATCCAGAAACATTTGAATCAAACATCCTGAATAATTCTCAATCTGTCTGTGAATCACTTGGCCATGGATTTAACAAGCTTATTTGCCATTTTCACAAATGCCACTGAAATGTATAACCACAATTTTGCAGTACCAAACTTACATAATCTTAGTCCAAGCATGTTAAGTTAACCCTGTCTACTGAGATCTTACTATATCATGGTTCATTCTTAAAAGTGTAATATAACTGACAAAATAAAAATGATGACCATTATTCAGCTACTTACTACGTTTCAGAGAATCTTAAATGCTAATGAAATATCATTGTCAACAAAGGCTGGCAAAAACCTACCTGCTGTACACCACGCTCATTACTGAGTGTTCGCAGTTCATCTGAATGGGCCACACAAATCTCGTGCAAAGCTGCTAAATCACGCGACAGGTCAGTTCTAGAATGTTCAGTAGTGTCCGGAAGTTCAGGTACATTCTTTAAGAAAATCATAAAACTGAATTTAGAAATATTAAACTTAAATTTTCTTCTAAAAAGAAATCCTAATTTGCTATGCTAGAATTTTAAACATATAACACCATCAAGGTATTATTTAAATATTCTCAAAGTTCTGTTAAAATTCTAGTCTTATTAATGTAACATTAAGTGCTAATTTTGATTAATACAGATTTTGTGACCTGGGTTTCACATCAAAACCAGTTCAATTTCCTTCCACAGCATAGCAGAACACTGTACAGTGTTATTGCTATTCTAAATAAATGGATTTCTTAAACTTTTTAGTTTGGTGTGTGTTTTATTAAAATCTGGAACATGCCAAACAATGTATTACTTGCTATTCTGGATTAAATGCAACCTAAAAAAGCCTGTTCATGCTTTCAGACTGAATTTAATTATTTAGATACTATAGTCTGCCTAAATTTATCAGCATACATAGATAGTAAGAGCTACATTACAAAAGTGTTCTGAAAACCTGTTAGGTAGGCCCACAATATGTTATCTGTGGTTTATTCCCCAAACACTTACTAATATGTGGAAATGACCAGTGTTAAACTATGGTACTTCAGAAAAGATTCTTAAAGTAACAGTCAAGAAGCTGATAGTACCTTACCAACACTGATTAAATACTGATGTTATTTTGAGCCTTAGAATAAAATTTAACATGGCATCCAGAATGGTGACATTTGCTATATATTCCTAAGTACTAAAAAACACTCAGTTTCTGTAGTATGAACAATTAGAATACATTTTCATTTATTAAATGATTCATTTACTTATTCAGTGAATGAGGGATTATATTAATGAAAGACACTAGTATTTGCCTTCAGAGAGCTTATAGTCAAGTAGACATGACAGAAGTAAACTGATAATAGCAACACAGGATTATAGATGAAAGACATGCAGAGGAAGCAAAACAAAATCTCAGGTTTAGGGCTCAGTAAGGCCTTCCTGAAGGAGGTATTTCAGGTGAGTCTTGAAAAGTTAAATTAGATTTACACATGTAGTAAAGGAATAGAAAAGTATGAGGAGACTAGAAGAGTATTAGAATGCTGGGATTCTATCAGTCTGAAAAGCTAGATTCCACATGTGCCATTACTAGGAAAGAGAGGAAGCTAGACTGTGGACATTTATGACTGTGGAAAAGGGAGTCCCAACCATATGGCTTAAAATAAAATGAACTAGCCTTAAATATGGGGTGAACAGTTTTCAAACAGCTCCTTAAAATTAAGTAAATAGGTTTTTCAATCATTGGCCAACTATATTTTTTGAAACTAGAAATATTTCTGTCTTCAAAACTTCCTCAGAGTTCACACATGGAAACATGTTAACATTTGCTCTTTTATTTCTCTATTTCATTAGAAATATGGAGCTATGCTGTAAATAATTTCTTATACAGTATTTTTTTCATACTTGAGGTTGCAAACTAGGGGCCCACAAGCAGTACTGATAGGTTTGACTGGACAGTGGTGTAATGACTGCTTGCTTGTGTTTTTAACTGAATTGAAAATGCATTAAGGCGGAACATAGGCAGCTCAGTCTCCTACCCTAGCACTCCCTAATGCCGTACACCTGTCCTACTTCAAATATACATGTTCCCTTCCTGGTTTCTGAATACATAAACTGAATTGTTAATATATTTACTTGGTTTGAGATTTAATCAATATCTGAAATATTTTCTTTAAAACCACCCATTCTTAATTTTATAATCACTATTTTATTTGTAAAGGCTCATAAGACATATAATATAGGTGGTCCTCCTAAGTTAAGTATAACTCCAAATTCATGGATTCTATTCCTAGAAAGCCATAAGAACACTCATTCTCCAGTACATTTACTTATTGAACATGGTCAAAACTATGGGTCATCCATCTGGTTTCAGATGCCATGCAATTGCAGCAGAGTAGAAATAGCTAAAGCAGCAAAAGAATGTTACAACAGTGAGGTAGAACAACCAGTAAAATAATGAAAGACAAAGTGGAAACTACAAAATGACACAAATTCAAAAAATCCAATATTGTGTGCTTGGTGTAAACCATTTAGTGTAAAAATAAATGGTTAAAATGACAGTCAAAATAGTTTAAGAATGTAAACAAAAGTACCAAGCTTTTTCTTTAGTTTTGGGTAGAAAATGTTTTTCAAAGTTGTTGCTAAAATGAGTTCACTCTCAGCTGTACTAACTATAGGTCTCAAAGTACTTGAAAAATTATATACATACCCCGAGTTCATCTAAAAACATGATCATACGATGCTTGTTACTTTTGATGAAAGGATTGACACCTTCCATATAGGGCTCCTAAAAATATTAAAAAAATACTTACTATATACATCAGAAAACAAGTTATATAAATATTGTCAGATCTATATAATGAAAACCTACATGTACCAAGAATTCTCATAAATCTGTGTCCATCCATAGCAATACGTTTCATGTAGTGGCAATGTTTTCACTGTAACGTAAGTACACAACTGTACTAAGGAACTGAATGTAGTTCAATCTGTTTGTTTGTTTGTTTCCCTTGCTTAATGAGATAAGTCAGAAAAAAATATTGCTATGAGCATTGTCCAAAATTTTACTGTACATGTTTTCTCCTAGGATTTGTACGGTTTGGAGTCTACCATTTAAGTCTTTAATCCACTTTGAATTTATTCTTCTTTGTGGTAAAAGAAGGTGGTCGAGTTTAATTTTTCTGCATGTATCTGTCCAACTTTCCCAACATTTACTGAATAAGCTATGTTTAGCTTATTCAGTATGTGCTTGCTTCCTCTGTCAAATATTAACTATAAAGTTCTGGGTTTACTTGTGGGCTCTCTATTCTGTTCCTTTGGTCTATGTGTCTGTGTTAATGCCAGTGCCAGGCTGTTTTGATTATTATGGCCTTATACTATAGTTTCATACTAGGTAGTAAGATTCCTCCAACTTTGTTTTTCTTTCTCA